ACGGTTCTCGAAAAATCAGGAACATCCGTAAAAATGGTCAATCCATGAACCTGATCCTAGAGCTCTGTGGTTTTTTTTTTAAACATTAGGAACTGTGATATAAAAAAAATATTTGGGGTCGTGACATAAACATGTATCTGGATGGCCATGAGACCGTCCTCCAGAAGATCCGGAACATCCGTAAAAGTGGTCAATCCATGAAACTGATCCTAGAGCTCCACGTTTTTTTTTAACATTAGGATCTGTGATACAAGAATGAATTAGGGACATGGACCCAGATGGCCATGGGACCGTTCTCCGGAAGATCCGGAACATCCGTAAAAGTAGTAAATCCACGATCCTGATCCTAGAGCTCCGCGTTTTTTATAAACATTAGGAACTGTGATGATAGAAAGAATTTGGGCTTGTGACATAAACATGAACCTGGATGTCCATAAGACCGTCCTCCGGATGATCCGGAACATCCGTAAAAGTGATCAATCCATGAAACTGATCCTAGAGCTACGCGTTTTTTTTTTACATTAGGATCTGTGATAAAAAAAAAATAATTTGGGTCATGGACCAGTGGAAGATCCGGAACATCCGTAAAAGTGGTAAATCCACGAACATGATCCTAGAGCTCCGTGGTTTTCTTGAAAACATTAAGATCTGTGATGATAGAAAGAATTTAGGCTTGTGACATAAACATGAACCTGGATGTCCATGGGACCGTCCTCCGAAAGATCCGGAACATCCGTGAAAGTGGAAAATTAACGAAACTGATCCTAGAGCTCCGTGGTTTTCTTGAAAACGTTAGGAACTGTGATATTAGAATGATTTTGGGATCGTGACATAAACATGGACCCAGATGGCCATCGGAACGTCCTCCGGAAGATCTGAAAAATTCGTAAAAGTGGTCAATGTATGGAACTGATCCTAGAGCTGCACGGATTTTTTTTTTCGAAAACACTTGGAACTGTCATATATAAATTAATTTTCCGTGACATAAACATGTACCCAGAAGGCCATGGGACCGTCCTCCGCAAGATCTAGAAAATCTTTAAAAATGGTCAATCCTCGAAACTGATCCTAGAGTTCTACGGTTTTTTCGAAAGCATGTGGAACTGCGATATAAGAAATATTTTGGGGTCATGACATAAACATGGACCCAAATGGCCATGGAGCCATCCTCTGGTAAGTCCAGAACATCCATAAAAGAGGTTAATCAATGAAACTGATCCTAGAACTCCGCAGTTTTTTTTTCCAAAAACATTAGGAACTGTGATATAAGAATGAATTTGTGATCGTGACTTAAACATGATAGATAGCCATGGGACCGTCGTCCGGAAGATCAACAACATCCGTAAAATGGTCACTCCACAGAATTGAGAGGTGGAAGCATTACTATGACGAGCACCTCAACGGCGATGCAGCAGAAAACGAAGGTGGCACGGCAACAGATCTTGCAGCACGTGCAGAAGACGACAGGCTACCGGCCCCTGATCTTCCAGAAGTTGAGGAGGAGATCGGTCGACTGGTGAACAACAAAGCAACTGGTGTAGATCAACAACCATACGAGCTGTTAAAATACGGTGGTGAAGCACTGGCTAGAGCGCTACACTGGGTAATTGCCAAGATTTGGGAGTAGGGAATATTACCGGAGGAGTGAAGCAAGGTGTTGTATGCCCAATCTACAAAAAGGAGGACAAGTTGGATTGCTGCAACTACCGTGCGATCACACTGCTGAGCGCCGCTTACAAGGTACTCTCCCAAATTATACGCCGCCGCCTGTCACCATTTGCAAGAGATTTCTTGGGCAATACCAGCAGGGATTCATGGGTTTATATTCGCGATTCGGCAGGTTCTGCAGAAATGCCACAAATACAACTTGCTTACACATCATTTGTTCATCGATTTCAAATCCGCATACGACACAATCGATCGTGATTAGCTATGGCAGATTATGCACGAGTACGGATTTCCAGATAAACTGACGCGATTGGTCAAGGCAACGATGGATCGAGTGATGTGCATTGTTCGAGTTTCGGGGACACTCTCGAGTCCCTTTGAATCTCGAAGGGGGTTACGGCAACGTGATGGACTTTCGTGTCTGCTATTCAACATTGCGTTAGAATGTGTGATCAGAAAAGCAAGGATAAACACGAGTGGCATGATTTTCAGGAAGTCCATCCAGCTTCTTGGCTTCGCCGATGACATTGACATTATGGCACGGAGCTTTGAAACGATGGCGGAAACATACTGAAGACTGAAGCTAGGCGGATTGGACTTGCCATCAACGCATCGAAGACAAAATACATGAAAGGAAGAGGTTCTAGGGAAAACAATGTTAGCCTCCCACCCGAGTTCAGATTGACGGTGATGAAATCGTGGTGGTCGATGAGTTCGTGTATTTGGGCTCACTGATGATCACCGAAAATGATACTAGTAGAGAAATTCAACGAGGCATTATGGCAGGGAATCATGCCTACTCTGGACTCTGGAGGACGTTCCGGTCTAATGAAATTCACCGCCGCACTAAGTTGACTATTTACAAGACACTGATTAGACCGGTGGTCCTCTACGGCCACGAGACCTGGACTATGCCTGTGGAGGACCTTGGTGTTTTCGAACAGAAGATGTTGCGTACCATCTACGATGGAGTGCAGATGGATGACGGAACGTGGAGGAGGTGAATGAAACACCAGCTGCTGGGAGAACCATCCATCGTCCACATTGAAAAAAATGGGTGACTACGGTAGGCTGGGTACGTCGTAAGAATGACGCACGAAGACCCAGTGAAAAGGGTACTAGAAAGCGACCCAACAGGAACAAGAAGAAGAGACGCGCAGCGGGCAAGGTGGATCGACCAAGTAGAAGGCGACCTGCGGACCCTTCGAAGACTACGAGGCTGGCGAACTGTGGCCATGGATCGAGCAGCGTGGAGACGACTTCTTTGGACAGCAGAGAACAACAAGGCCTTAGCCTGATTGGTAAGGTAAGTGCAATAATTTCGGAATGTTATGGAAAGTCTAGAATTTCAGGGTGGAGCCTCCCTTAGTTAGCTATGCAGTACACTGATTATCTATGGCCTGTAAATAACTCTCTGGTTACAAGGCACTTTGTCTGCCGATATATACCTGCTAGATATTGAAATTATCGCCTTAGTTAGTGGTTTCTATGCCGCGAAAAGTTTCATTATAAACTTAGTTGATTTTTACTAGACAAGAATACAACCATGATAGGATAGAACAATATTTGGGGGATGGACTTATCAAGCTAAACATCTGGGTTCATATTGCGAAAGTGTTTTACGTGAATTACTGTCTTCCCTGTGAGTATTTCTTAATTTTATGGTAAGTTGAACTGGATTGTGCTTACGTGTATTCCAACATTCCTACATTACAACTATGGACGCTCGGAAAGGGGCGCACAAATTTAAGGTGGGGCGCACAGATTGCAATTCAGCGAGTTAATAAATTGAGAGCAACCTGAATATCAAAAGACAAGAACATCCAAAAATTAAATTAAATTTCCGATTTGACTCAGACTCTGCTCGGGTACCTAGTACATGGCTGGTTATGTTTTTAGCATTCTTCTCTTTCCCTCCAAAATGCTGAGTCATGTATGCATGTTCTTTGTGAGAGATGCAGAGAGCTTTGCCACCCCTCATAGATGGAAGAAGACTTATGAGTAAGAAAGGTAATGTCATAGTAAACGAAATTGATAAATTAACAAATCTCGTCACTCATTTCTCTAGTTGATGGCTCTGGAATTGAACCCACAACCTTTTGCTTCCTGATCAGATACTCGGTGATCTGATCCATTGATCCCATATGACACCCACATAATTCAAATTTGTTTACTAAATATTGTCCAGTCACCTAAAACGTCCTCCTATTTAAAACGTGCATAACAATTTGTTTGTTTATTAATAACACACTATCAGTAAAGCCATGAACAAACAATAAGTAAATACTTTCACACTCAACCGCTACTTCACCCACAAGATCAGCTACCCCCTAAACAACGTCACTAAACAGATTGTAATAAAGCGTTTAATCAAAATAAAATGCTTATACCAAATTTGTGGTTTCACGATCAACCCGGGTGCGATCATGTTCAGTTATGTGTAAACCTAGCAGCAAGGGAAAATGTGTAGCTGTTTATTTGCTGGATCGCGTCCGATACCTGTCGACGACGGTAGCAATCGGTGCGATCCATCATTCACGGTCTGAAGGACACGGCCCTCCATTCCGGCTAAGTACATAAACGCTCTATGTATGCTGGTGAGATTTAAATGTTTAAACGAGCACCCAACTAGTAATGGAAAAGTAAAAACATACCAACATAGCCGTTCTTATGTATGTGCTTAGGGCGAGGAGTATGTGCACTGCTAGGCATTTCTCCGTTGAGGGCTTAATTTTCACCGATTTTCCTTTTCGCTTTCGTGCCCGGACACCAGTCTCAGCTGCTCGCAAGGTAGCACCAATGTCCATGGCCTTCGGTTCCTTGGCTTTGGCGTGTTCAGGACATACCTTTTCCCCAGCGTCTCCCCTTCTCTTTCTCCCCTTTTTAGGAAAAAAAGGCCATATCGCTGCATTGCATGCGGTGCATCCTCATCAGAGCGCAGCGGCTAATTTATCGTTTTTACTTTTTGTTTTTGCTACAGCAAATTAGTGAAGCTTGCAAATAGTTTTGCGGCGTAGGTTTTGAACATAAGATTCAGCCGGACCTGTAGAGCTAACCGGATCTACGAGGCGACGTCGAAGAAAGGTTTGCCTTGGGCTTGTTGGGGGTGGGTGGTATATGTGCGAATTTTCACGCTCCAAAAAGTTCTAGTTCCTCTAATGTGCGATGGATTGCATGTGGGGGTACTTACATATGGTTACCCATACATGGATGAATTTGAAGTAAAATGCACCGATTGGATTGGTATTGCACGGCGTAGGAGTTTGGTGCAATTTGACGGATAAAATCTGGGTGCATCCAGAAGAAAGTTATCAGTAGTATAAATTGCTCTAAGCAGCCCACATCGGAAGAAGCGCACTGCCATCGATCCATCAATTAGTAGTTTAGTTTATTTTACCTTAGTCAAAACTAGAACGGAAGCAGTGCAATGGCATCTTTCAAGTTTGTGTGTAGTGTACTGTGTGTGCTGATTGCCGTTCAGACCGCCACCGCTGAAGATGGCACTGTACGTGGCCTGCGGAAAGTTTACTCCCTCTGTGAAGACAGTGACGAACTGCTCAAGTGCATCAAGATCCAGGCGCTCAAATTGACGGACCGTGCTATCAAGCTGCCAAGCATCAAGCTGGTTGATGGAATGTCGATCGTGAAAAAGGCCGAAGGTGACAACCAACAGCGTGCCCTGAACGAACCCACGCTGAACGAACTCGAACTGAACAAGCTGTCCTCGGCCAAGATCGACGAGCTGCTGTACCAACGTGCTGCCCGTTTCATGGATTCCCACCAGCTTTCGCTGAACGTGCCACGTATGCTCGTCTCGGGACAGCAGGAAACCGGACGTCTGGTCGAGGAAGGTCGCAAGAAGATGAAGAAGTACCTCGGACCATTCCTCGCTGCAATGGCTATCAAGGGAGGTATCCTAACCATGGTGTACCACTCCATCGCTATCGTTGCTGGTAAGGCTCTGATCATCGGTAAGATCGCCCTGGTCATCTCCGCCATCATTGGTCTGAAGAAGCTGGTCACCCCAGAGGGTCACGAAAAGACCACCTACGAAATCGTGAAGCACCCACACGTCCAGCAGAGCCATACCTACTCGTCAAACCATGGTGAATTCGATACCCATGAGTCCGGCCAGTTCCACCGTAGCTTCGGAAACTCCATCAGCGGCGATATGCAGATGCAAGATCGTGCATACCGGGCCCATGTTCCAAAGAACTAAATCCACCTTCGAGAGAACCCACACCCGAACCCGAACATAACCCGTGCTCCAATCGGTCATTAGGATTTACGTCGAAAACCCCACTGCAGAAAAGAAGAAAAAACCTTAGGATAGAAAGACTTTCAGGGAGTAACCGCGGTACGTGACAAACTCCCTGACGTGCGCGCACTTCGAGATCTCGTCGATCGAAATAACCACTCCAAAAAAGCAGACATTGGAAGCTTGCAGCCAGAAGACAGCCCAACGCAGCTGAGTCCCCGAAGGGTGGATCAACCCCAAACCAACTATTTCCCAATTTCCCAACCCCAAAATGTTACAGTTTGATCCCCATTCCGTCGTTCTCAGCTGCTTTGTAACGTTATCTTGTATTTATTATTTATTGTAATTGTAATTAATTTATTGACAACATTTATGTCCCAGTCCCCAAACCATTCTCCCCATCAGACCAAAGCAAAAAACCAAACCAAATTGTCCTTTGACATCCTATAAGTTAGTCTTCGGAGTTGTACCGTCGGAGAGAAGAGTTTCTCTGTGTGTACGGAAATTTAAAAAAATCAAATCCCTGTCAAATAAAGGAAAATTCAAATCAGCATGTCGAAGCATGTGTAGCAATGCAAATAAAAGAAATCTGGTTGTTTCATTTTGCTGTGCCAGTGGTGAACACTCCTATTGGTCTGATTTCATTCAGAATCTCATCCTTTGTCAGTAGTTAAAAAAGATATCCGCTGATAAATTCGTTAGGATTCAGTGATTAAGTAAGTTCACCTTGTTGTTTGACTTGATTCTAATGATCCAATTTTTTTTTTTTAACTAGTTCGTTTATATACTAGGCTCAGTCGTGTGTGACACTTTGCGGAGCCAAAATCAGTAATGTTTGATTTACATTTTAAATAGCAGTATTTCTAGGTTAGTATTGGGTACCAATTACTCGTGGCGGGCTCGAGGTTAATAGGTAACAATTTCAATTGGAAGGATCTAGGTAGGAAACTGGTTTCTGAAGCCTCCTTCAGATACTACTCTTGGACGGTTGACCAAATCCTGGCTGGGCAGGGGCAAGTAGCACAGGAACAGGAGGATAATAAGACTGGGACACAATGGCGGGAAATTGTTTGGAAAGGAGGGGATAGTCACATCAAACTCTAACATCAGACAAACAAAGGAATTCGTAGATCGCTTGCATGTAGGGAAGATCACGTGTTCCCAATACATCTCTTACTTCACGGAAGGGTTGTCTACCTCGGGCCACTAGGGTATCCAATAGTCGTGCTCTGGAGGCGTCATTACCCGGGCAATACCAAACTGCGTGATCGATGTCATCATAACCGGTTCTGCACCTACATATATTGCTGTCAACGAGGTTTATTCTATAGAGATGTGCGTCTAGCGAGTAGTGGTTGGACATAAGTCTTGACATCACTCGAATGAATCCCCGACTTACATCCAGACCTTTGAACCACGCTCTCGAAGAAACATTTGGAATAATGGAATGTAACCACCGCCCAAGAGAATTATTTGTCCAATCGTTTTGCCAACTTAAAAGAGAACTCTGACGTACTAATGGGAAAAATTCATCATGTGAAATTCTTCTATCATAAATCTCGCCTTGTTGTGCGCCCACCTTTGCGAGAGAGTCTGCCTTCTCATTGCCTGGGATTGAGCAATGTGAGGGGACCCATACAAAGGTAATCATATATGATCTTTCGACCAGCAAACTCATCTGTTCCCTTACCTTTGAAAGGAAATAAGATGAGTGCCTACCTTGTTTCATCGACCGAATAGCCTCAATCGAACTGAGACTATCCGAGAAGATGAAGTAATGGTCTATGGGCATATCGGAAATCATCCCCAATGCGAAGTTGATTGCTGCTAGCTCAGCAACATAAACGGAACAAGGTTCCTGAAGTTTCCGAAAGGCGGTTGAGTATTCATTGAAGACGCCGAAGCCAGTGGATCCATCAATGCGTGATCCATCAGTGAAAAATCTTCTATTGCAATTGACTTGTTGGTACTTTTCAGCAAAAATGCGGGGAATTGAGATAGGTCGAAGTTGATCTGGAACTCCTTGAATAGCCTGTTTCATGGAGAGATCATAGCCAATGGGGAAACTGTAGTTAGTAAAGCATACACGAGAGGGGTTATAGCAAGGAAGGCTAATATCCGATGACATATAATTAAGATAGATTCGCACGAATCTAGACTGGATGCTCAATTCGAGCATTTCTTCGAAGTTTTCAATCACAAGGTTGTTACTGACACTACATTTAATCAATATTCTTAATGAGAGCTCCCAGAAACGGTTCTGCAGGGGTTTTACGCCCGCTAGTACCTCTAGGCTCATATTGTGTGTTGAATGCATACAGCCAAGGGCAATACGTAAACAACGATATTGAATACGTTCCAATTTGATTAGGTGGCTTTTTCTTGCCGAGTGGAAGCAAAAAGAGCCATACTCAAGAACTGAAAGAATAGTCGTTTTATATAGTTTAATGAGGTCTTCCGGGTGAGCACCCCACCATGTCCCGGAAATTGATCGTAGAAAATTGATCCTTTGTTGACACTTTTGTTTCAAATACGTAATGTGGGTACCCCAAGTGCATTTTGAATCAAACCAGACTCCAAGGTATTTGAAGGTTAAAGATTGGGTAATGTCTCAGCCCAAAAGATTTAGACGCAGTTGGGCTGGAAACCGCTTCCTTGTAAACACTACCAATTCAGTTTTTTGCGGTGAAAACTCGATCCCTAAATTTCTTGCCCAGAGAGACAGATTATTTAGGGAATTTTGCAATGGTCTTTGCAAGATTTCTGCACGTGGACCTCTCGTGGAAACCACGGCATCGTCTGCAAGCTGTCTAAGCGTGCATAGATTATCTAAGCAGTTATCAATATCTTTGACATAGAAATTATAAAGCAAGGGACTTAAACATGAACCTTGGGGTAAGCCCATGTAGCTAATTCTAGAAGTTGTCAGTTGACCTAGTTTGAAGGTCATTTGTTTTTCTGACAGCAAATTATACAAGAAATTATTCAAAATACCGGGTAATCCACTACTGTGCAAATTGTCTGACAGTATGTCTATGGAAACCGAATCAAATGCGCCCTTAATATCCAAAAAGACTGAAGCCAATTGCTCCTTGTGCGCAAAGGCCAGTTGAATATCAGATGAAAGCATCGCTAGACAATCGTTTGTTCCTTTACTCTTTCGGAAACCAAATTGCGTATTTGAAAGTAGATTGTTTGATTCAACCCAATGGTCAAGTCTTAATAGGATCATTTTTTCTAATAATTTCCTCAGGCATGATAACATAGAGATCGGACGGTAAGAATTGTGATCAGACGCTGGTTTCCCAGGCTTTTGAATAGCTATTACTTTAACCTGTCTCCATGCTGGTGGAACTATATTGAATTCCATAAATGAATTATATAGGTTAAGTAATCGTCTTTTAGCGATATCGGGGAGGTTTTTTAGAAGGTCGAATTTGATCATATCGCTTCCCGGAGCAGAGTTATTCGATGAAAGAAGTGCCATTGAAAATTCCAGTATTGTGAATGGTTCATCCAGAGAACCGTTACTTCGGACTGTATCCCGTAAAGTTGGTTGTGCTGGAACAGAATCTGGACAAACCTTTTTAGCGAAGTCGAATATCCATTGGGAGGAGTATTCTTCACTCTCATTGGAAGATGAGCGGTTTCGCATATAGCGAGCCTTTTTCCAAAGCGTTGTCATCGAGGTTTCTCTAGAAAGTCCCTCGATGAAAGTACGCCAGTAATTTCGTTTCTTTGCTTTTAGTAAGTTTTTAAGCTTTTTTTCAAGCTTTAGATCCTTTTCAAAAAGCTCAGATCTTTCATGTCTACGGTAATCTTTTAAGGCATCGGATTTCTCAAGATACAACTTTGTGCATTCGTCATCCCATCCAGGGGTGGCGGGTCTTCTTTTGAGGGATGCACTTGGAACACGTCGTTTCTGAGCTTCTAATGCGCTTTTGTAGATTAGCTCGGTAAAGAAACGATACTCTTCCAGTGGTGGTAGAGGATCGGTAGAATCAATACCAAGAGTTACCGCCGATACAAATTTTTGCCAATCAATGTTCCTCGTGAGGTCAAAAGGAACTTGAATTGACTGATCTGTTTTTAGAAGACCACTTTTGATTGAAATAATAATTGGCAAGTGATCACTACCATGGGGATCATTGATAACCTTCCACAGACAATCTAATGATAGTGAGTTAGAGCACAAAGAAATGTCAAGACGGCTCTCTCGAGCAGGAGGGTTTGCTATACGTGTTGCTTCACCAGTGTTCAAGATAGTCAAGTTGAAATCGTCGCACAAATCATAGAAAATACCCGCTCTATTGTCATCGTATGATTCGCCCCAACCAGTACCGTGTGAGTTCATATCGCCCAGTATTAGAACTGGAGATGGAAGGATATTAACTGAACTCCAAAGCTGACGGCGGTTTATGGAAGTCCTTGGAGGGACATATACAGAAGCTATGCAAAGATCTTTGTTCTTCACATTTATTTGGCAAGCGACAATTTCAATGCCTGAAATTATTGGGATTGAGATTTTATAGAAGGAGTAGCACTTTTTGATCCCCAAAAGTACGCCACCATATATGAATCATCTCGGTCCAGGCGGATAATGTTAAAATCGTGGAAGTTTAGTTCATCTTCAGAAGAAAGCCAAGTTTCACAGAGTGCAAATATATCACAATCAGAATTGTGAATCAAATACTTGAACGAGTCTAATTTAGGTATTAAACTACGACAGTTCCATTGTAATAAAGTGATCATATCTTGATCCTCACTCGACGAATTATCCATCGAAAGATATGAATTCACCAATGAGGGGCCATGATGCAGTCAATTGCTTGAAGTAGTTTCCGACTATAGGAACAAGCAGGTCAATAAGCCCTCGAAGTGGCGATTCGTCGAGAAAGCCGAGGGCATTCAAAATGTTATCCACAATGTCCTTAAATTTAATCTTTCCTCGCTTGGACGGGAGAGTTTTCTTTGAATTGCGAGTAGACGTGGTGTTTATTTTTGGTAATCTCTTAGGATTACCTTTATTAGGTAGCGGCGGGGTGGAAAAGCTGCAGCAAGGATCAGATGGAGCAGCAATTACCGATTTCTTCGGCTTTTTCAATGAATCCCCGCTACCTTCAGATTTTTGCATGCTTTTGAGAGTGGTTTTATTTTTTTTCCGGCGCACTCCCGGGGAGCTAGTCGGCTTCCTTTTACCGGGGGCGTGTACCTCCGGAGACTCACTCTCATCTGCTATGTCAGAGTCCAGTTCATCGGAAGACAAAATCTCAAAAGTGTTTTCATTTTGAGCGGCTGATGCCAACGAAGCAGAGGTTCCATTTTGCAACTTAACCATTTCTGCAAACGTCAGCTTGGAGCGTTCTTTTATTGAACGCTTCACATTATTGGTACGCTTCTTGTACGCAGGGCAGTCCTGCAAAGCATGAAGAGGTTCTTTGCCACA